CATTATTTTGCAGCGGACAAGCTTTTCAACCAGAAATAGCACGGACAGAGCTTCAAAGACATAACTAGGATCTTTTTACATCCACACAATGCATCACTAATTTCTCCTGTATGCAGATAGTTGACAGATACGGTATGTGCTCTTCCCTGATTGCACAAGAGGCTGAGGATGCCGCCCATGTGACACGCCGAGTTTTAATCAGCGCAGAGACAACGAGTGGCTGCAGGTGCTGTTTGTTCCCATTGTGTTCCACGTGTGAAGATGAATCATGTCAAAATATCACATAACTTTTAGGTGATTAGAACTTTCAGTCCTCACACCAACAGACACAAGTGGGATTGTTTGTTCGAACTTCATTAGCTTGGAAAGACTGTAAATTTGGTGAATCAAATGGATAAAAATAACAAGGTCTTGTCTAATTTAAAAATGGGATTCATATAACAGTACAGAGTGATTTCAGAAAGCTGGTGACAGAATCAAGGAATTAGACAATGGAGATGAAGTTTTGTCCAAGACCAGGTGGGCAGCGAGGGGCCCATTCACAGAGATTATGCATTTCTGGTACAATTTTCAGTGGCATAAACAAATTACTTTGTTTTACTTGATTGGGATGTTAATGAAAAACACCTCAGGATTGTAGCCTTGGATTTATTTTCATATGTTGCCCCACAGTCACAAACACACACATCCTGGAAACCAAGGCACCAGGAGGAAACTTATGCAGACATGGGGAGAAAATGCAAACTCTTTACATAAAGGTGTAATTGACCCCGTTCTAACTTTTTTCTTTAGTTTGTCTATTCTTTTCAGATTATAACTTATGTTTATATTTATATCTTTTTATATATTCTTATTAACTCATTCACTGCCAATTGATTTGTTTGCGTTTTTTACTTTCTATGGCTCGTCAAGGCTCTTGTGCATCCTGTGTCAACATTTCAGACCTGTAAATGCTTTGGAGTGTTTTTATTGTATACGAGTTGAATATTGTATGTGTACATAAGACAATCCTTGGAGTGTATTGTGTGTATAATTTGTTTAAAAATAATTATACATTAAAAATACAATTCTAAGTATTGTTTCTGTTTTGTGTCATAATAAGACACTGTCATACATTGTAAAATATCAGTAAAGGAAAAAAAAAAACACTTTTCTGCTTGAAAATGTGTGTTTCACAAAAAAGTCTGTTTTCTCCATATCTTGGTCAGGAAACAGCATTTTGTGGGAAAGTTACCCATGTTGTACTCTCAATTGCTAAAAACTAAACGGGGTAGAAACTTTTTTTATGAAAGGCAAGAGACAGAGCTTTCATTTGATATGTTTCATACTTGTTTCAACCAAGGGCTCACATTTATATGATGTTTGGAAAAACACTAAGAATATCCAAAATCTCTGGCAGTATGAGGGATGCTGCTTTTTATATGGCTGGCAGTGAATGAGTTGTTAATAGTAATTCTAAAACAATTAAAACATCCCCAATAAATGGAAGATCAATGGAAAAGCAAAAGTCTTGTGTTTTTGTAAATTTCTCCATTGCGAGATCAATAAAGTTTTATCTTATCTTAGTGAAACATATCAAACCGTTTACAATTGTATAATATCATGACGCATATCGAGACGGGAATAGTATCAGAAGGATCCAAAAGATACCCAGCTCTAAAACCCCTGATGAAAGTGTTTCAATGGAGGAAGCTTGAGAACAAAGGGAAACCCTGAAAGTTCCTCCTCGTGGCTGCGACTCCATCAATTTGGCGTGCCAGTTCAAACTCTGGATAAAAGAGGATCCCGTCTCATGCTGACTGGTACTAATAGCTTCATTTGTGGGCAGCAGGCTTGAAGGACACCGAGGATACATCCCCCTTGAAAGTTCGCTCTAATCTGCACTTCACCAAAGTGCTACTCTGTTGTTCTGGAAATAGAGACACAATCATCGCTATTCCAGATGATTAAAATCCGTTCCTAAATCCTTTCATGCAGTAAAGCTTAACTCTCTCTCTGAGGCGGCATTTCTGTTTTAAGAATTACACTGGCTGTCTTGATGCCGTAAACATTCAACAAGAGCCCGGAGTTTCAATGGGACGTGTTAAAGCCATTCTCTGCTCTGAACAACCAGCCAGCTAAGTCCACTGATTAAAAGACATAAGAGCTGGTCCTCTCGCAGTGAGCTTAGTTGTGATCTGATAAGAAGGCTTGGCGTGAATACAGTCATGCAAAAAATACAATAGTTTTAAAGCAACAGAGGCTCACAGGACACTCTCCAAGTAAGCCACATCTGTGTCTGCCACAGTAATAATAATAAAAGGGCTGAATAATTTTTGCAATATGGCAATGTGATAAATGTTCTGATTGGATTTGTGATTTTCCATGGATCCTATAGTTTGACATTGTGATGGAGGCAAGCAAATCTTTCTTGGTAACTATGGCAACTGTCCGAAGTCAGATTTTTTGTCTTAGTTTAGATTTTATTCATCCGTAATTCGTGGAACAAATCCACATGTCGGGACATAAACACTATTGTTTAACTTTTTTGATTTGATTTGTAGAAGAGGTGGCAATGTTCAAATAACAGATGCATTATATTTTACAGTAGAACGAATTTTCAGACAGAAAGAATAGCAACAGGGTTTGTGAATTTAATCACTAGATTATTTTTTAACATTTCCTGTTTTGGCACCTGCCTACAACATGAACACTAAACGTTAGATTCTCTCTCAATTGAAAACAAGAGGCAACACTGGCAATGACAAGCCTCCATGAAAAAATGAAAATATGAAAAAGAAACATATGTTCAATATATGAACATTAACATAAAACATAAATATAAAAAAACATTGGAAATAAACTACAAAGAGAAAAGGAAAAAGTCACAACGTTATGAAGTCGTAAAATGTGTATAAGCCGAGTCATCTGGGAGTTCTAGTGTTAAAGGCTTGCATAATCACACATTCTCAGGAGATAATAGTGTGTGAAAACAGCACACAACAACACTTTTTATAAGTTGCAAATTAAGTGAAGAATGGCAGCTCGTCAACTGGTGCGTAAAAATAAAATGAAATGGTGAAGTTACTTTCTTTAATAAAATGAATTCAACAAAAATGTTCCTTATAAAGAATAAAAAATAACCCAACACCATGGGATTATCTCTATATCTTCCAGCAGGTCTTTGAGCCGTGTGGACAATCATGTTGCGGGAGCAGCATGTACAGAGGACAGTGGAATGGAAGTCTCTGTGGTCACTTCTTTTTGCTATGTGAACATGTTGATGTGCATAATTAACTAATCAGCTTATGCCAGCTGGATCTCTTGGCTGCTCCGTCTGACAGTGTCGCCTCCTCTCTTGAAAACAGCTTGAAAAGATTAGGGTTTGGTATCCCTCAGAGTAATGTTATCTCCTGCCAAGGCTGAAAAACTCTCAAATAAAATTATGTGTATGTCTTTTATTAAGTTTTCACCTCAGACATTATCAATTAGAAGTTTTGTTGGTTTTTTATCCTCAAATCAATAATACTTGATACAGGAAGAAAGTGCACTGCCCTCAGACTAATTCAGCTTCGACTTCTGCTTATCTTGTTTTGTTCCTCAAACATGCACAATTTGATTTTGTTCATATAGTTGTATTGTCAATATAGGAGAGAATTTCACCATTTGCCTTATGCTTAAAATCTCATGTCCGCTAAGACTTTGCTGGGAGCAGCTCTGCAGTCGTCTTGATTAATAGGAATACTTAATTTGTCATTAGGCCCTGATTATTTCCATTAATCCAGCAGCTTTAAACCCATTGGTAACGTTGCTGAGAATGACTTCTTTGCCACAGTGACCAGTCTGAGAAAGACAGTAAGTATGGTCATTACCTTATGCTCAATAACAACATCCATATTAGTTTCATTGTGAGATGCACAATACACAGCCCTGGTGTAAAAGAGTCAGACATTTTATATGTCCGGCTGTGTAAAAATGGACCTCTGCCCAGGAAGCCATTGATTTTCTCACTGCGCCTGTATAGCATCTTCTCTCTCCTACAAGAGCAGCATGTAATATGAGACCACTAGTTTTCTTTTACCCACAGCAATCAATTTAGCTTAGCTGAGCCCTATGGCCTCGCCTTGGACTGGATAAGTACCTGTCTCCCCAACGCAGTGCCTATGTACGCACACCTTCAGCAGAAATGTGGTGTGTAAAAACAGCATATCCCAGTGTAGACCTGACCAATCCAATAACACCCGTCCAGACAGTGTGACTGCAGAGTGCAATGTGTCGCTGTGAGGAGAGGCTAGATGTGCCCAGAAAGCCAACGAAATCACAGAATTCATTTTGATTTCCAATTCTCCCTGACCGTTGTGGTGGTGATTGCTTCTATGCTTTGTGTCTTTCATAGCTTGCAGTAAGATGTAAAGGCATTTATGGCTTTTTATCCTAAAAGGACAGTCTGAGAAAAGATTCAATATATAGGGTAATCCGTGGGACTATAGTGGGCATGATAGAGTCTTATAGATATCTTCAATTGAGCTCCATCCATCTCCCAGACTCATCGCAGAGCTGGAGATTGTGTGTACAGAACACTTGGAGCCATGTCTTGTCCCTTTCAGCAAACGGTTACAACTATCAGCTGCTGTAATGAAAATTATGGGCTTTGTTCGAACTGTGTATACAGCGTGGGCTGAAACGAAGCATAACAAGATCAACTTTCCAACAGAGCCATGTGGGCGTGTTATTCAAATACACTGGAATTAAAGAAAAACGGAAATACATCCTACTGTTCCATGTTTCTAAGGAAAAGGCATGAAAGAAATAATAAGGGATATAGCTGAAACCATCCATCACAGTCAGTCAAAATTCTCAAATATTCTGCGAACAAAACCAGGTAAAGTCCCAAGACATTCTGTTTTATAGCATGAATTACTATGCGGGGATTTAATCGCTAATCCTTCAAAAAGTGAACAATCTTATTGAAAACAGCTCTTTCTGTCAAAGGCCAGAGCTTTGAAGACTAGCATTATTACCTGTAGCCACTGAGACTGGTCACTGCGTCCGGCTGTCCAGGCATTGACCTTGCCCTGTTTGTCCAGACGGGCCTTCCCCGGCTCCCAGGTGAACATGTCCATGTTGAGCGTCCTGAAGATGCTAGAGGCTGTGACCTGGTAGTCCTGGATGTGGCCGGACTTCATCCCCAGGGGCTCGGAGCAGCCTAGAGCATAAACACCATGTGAATAGTACATGTTATTTTTACAAATGTACTGCAGTGCATTTTCACTATTGAGCAAATGCAGCAAAAAACACTGCAATGGATAACATGATTAATTGTCTGCATGGCACGAGCTCCTGCAAGGTCCATTACATGTGAGGGTAACAGCAGTGCATGCCTCCCCCTCCACAGCTCTGCAGCTGCAGCTGTGAGGCATATAGACACTTCCATTGTGTTTCCTTTCCTCTAATACAACATTTGTGACAACCTTTAAAGACCCTTGCATATATATAAGCTTCAAGCTGACAAAACACATACCTATAATGTATAACTCTCATTGTTAGAATCAGGGTTTACCTGACAGCTCGCAGCCCAGAAGCTCCATGCGGAGGGTGCAGTGCCTCCTGCAGACTTGTGGGTAAATCCGTACATACTGGGCTTCAATAGGAGGAGTGAAGGAGTTGGCTGATGGAGCGTTGTTGTCCACATTTCCTCTAAAAATCTGTAATAAGGAACAGAAAAGCTGTTAAAGGGCAACTGGAAAAGGATTTTTCGCTGTCTCTAGTGACTATTCTACATTCAACAAATTGCTGTCATTCAAGGTCAATGAGCTCGAATTACTGGGAAAAATAGACAATTTATCGCACCATTTGAGCTTGTAATTTATAAGAACAGTGGTGTGGTCTAAATTAGTGGTTCAATTATGCTACTTTACTTTCTGGAGTGTTTTATCCAAATGACCTGAGATTAGCATTATACATCAGTGTTCAAACTGGTATGATGACAAAGTGCTGTATATTGTACTGAAGCTTCCGGAAAAAGGACATAAATGTAAAATAACACCAAAGATTACTTTTTCATTTGCTTAACTGTCAACTGTAGTGAAAAATAGTATGATTGATGCAACAATAACATTCTTTGTTCCTTTTTTGGGGTGATTTCTTTGGAGTGATCCTTCAGTCTCTTTAATAACTTCTACCCACCCATATATATATATATATATATATATATATATATATATATATATATATATATATATATATATATAGGTGAGTGGGCTCTTGGCACTGCCATTTCCTAAATTATCTTAAAATGTAATGTCATCAACAGCTTCATAATTCTTTACTATAGTAATTGTTGCACCATTTATGGAACACTGCCATATCTTACTACATATTAAACTACAAGGCTTCAATCAGAAAATGCAACACATACAAAATTAAACTTCCTTGGCCATTGTTGTCTGTAATAAATTTAGAGCAAAATTTGGAGGTCGTGGTCTTCAGGGGCGGCCAGCCAAATGGAGGACAGGCACGGCTCGCTGTCAGGGATGATAGAACGCTGTGAGACCTGTTTGGTGGCTGTTCATCCCCAAATAGTATAAAAATTCAATCTCGAAGTCATAAAAGTGGAGGAGAGGGTATGGCAGGGGCAGCAAGACAGGCCCCGGTGTGCGCTAGCTAATTAAAAAGCCATCTCATCATGTCCTCCACCCTGTCCTTGACTGTCTACTGTGTGCGTGTTGTTGTCTGTGAGGCAGTCTGCTGGGATCATTTCAGGCCGCTGCGTTTCTTACCATATCCTCGTTTCTTTTGCCTTTCCCTTTATACGTTCGCCATGTCTTGCCGTCATCACTGTAGGCTACTTTGTAAGACTTGATGTACTCCGGACTGCCGATTCGCTTGGCACCCTGCGTAATCAGGCCGGTGACCCTCATTCTCCGCAGCAGATTTATCTATTGGGAAAGAAAGGAAAAGGGAAAAATGCATGAAATTATGACAGCATTTAGATGAGGGAGGACGCGGATGATGTGAGAGCGGTCGGAATCAATTCTCGGCCAGTATCCTTTCTGTCAGGACCATCCATCTTGTTCAGAGACGCAGTGTTAAAATAGAACGCTAGATTAATTTGCAGAGTCCAGATCTGGCGTGTCAGGTCTGCGCAGGCTGTCAATACCGAGTCAATACAGAGCATAGGCAATTTAGAAGGAAATAGAAGCTTTAATACAAAAAATACATCTTTTATCTCAACACGTACAGAACGATCGATGTGTTTCATGTTCCATAGTCTGCACTGGCTTTGGAGAAGTTTGACGAGCTCCAGGAATGTGACACTTTACAATTTCAGTGTGACAAATATTATGAGAGATATCACCATTTACTATTGACGCTGAGGCCAAACTGCATGAATAAAAGTGATAAGACTCCCAAGAGCAGTCAATTTGACGGCTTTTAGTTTTGGAAGTGTAATAGGTCAATTTTTGCTTTTCATAATTTGTTGACTTTTTTAAATTTATTTCTGTCATGTCATTTTCTTCCCCTTCATTAGTGCACTTCTGGGTCTGGGGGGTTAAAATCACCACCAGAAACTAGCAAGTACTGGTTACCAGAGCAACACACTGTTGACTTGCAGCAGATAGCTTTTGTCAGCCTTTCCACAAACTGTTTTTGCAATATTTAAAGTTATGTTAACCTGTTCTAGCACAAAAAATAACACAAAATAACTTTTTCAATTACTTGGTTAAAAACTAAAAATGCATGACAGATTTTTTCAGATTCCATTTTTTGGTAGTTTTGTGGGTTTGAGCTGTTGGTTCCCCTAAACATTGGTCAGGGGTGCCAGCTCTACCCTGGGCTGCCCCCTGAAGTTTGTGGAGGAGGTGGGGGACAGGAGGGTGCTAGCCAAAGTCACCTCCATCATGGACAACACCTGTCACTGCACAGGACTGTAGAGGAGTTGAGGAGCTCCTTCAGTGGAAGAAGGAGGCACCCTCAGTGCAAGGAGGAGCGCTACTGCAGGGCCTTCATCCCACCACAGTGGGACTGTACAATAAGTCACTTTAATGACCTGCACTAGGAATGAAAAAGCTGCACAGCTATAGCCACTTTTTTTTATATACATAACATCTTGCACAAAAATGACTGTTTAACCTTTAACATGTTTGCACATTTCCCGTTTTTTGCACAGCCTGAGTGATGCTATTTATGCCGAATGTGACATGTAAATTTCCCCATTGTGAGAGTTTATCTTATGTATCTGAAACCCCTATTTTTTGTAATTATAATGTGACCTGAATAGTCATGATCATCAATAAACCAAATTACTTACACAATTGTATACCGACCAACCACTCTTTCTAACTGATTCAAAAGCCCCCCATCAGCACTCCATCATCTTAAGATGACGACTGAACATTGAGGTCAGATTCATTGACAAAAAAGTGTTAACGAATTGTATTATTTATGATACAAAAAGTTCAGTGCCCCAGGTTAAAAACTGCATATAACAGGACCTGTGGTCATTAAAGATAAATGCAAATGGCATGTGTTTTTGGGTATAGGTGAGCAAAGCATAAAACACAAATCCACTTAAGTGAGGGATTTGGCAAGGATCATAAGTGATGTTTTTCTCAACGCTAACGCGGGCATTTACACCCCGGCCACCCAGCCTTTCTGTTTTCTTGTTTAAAAATGAGAGGAAGCGTGATTTGACATTCTTTGCCCTTTGACAGTGGAGGACAGCTCACTTCATTCCAACAGTGAGACAAAGCCGTTGGGGCTGAGTCACAGATCCACGCTGCAGGGACTGAAACCCTCTGCGGACACTTTCTACAAACAAATGAACAATGAAGACCACAAACGGCGATGACAGAAATTCATTAATCATTTTAGCACTACATTCACACCAACTGTTTTTTTATGGGGACTGGATAAACACTCCACAGATGTCAAATCTCAAATAGCATGTGACAAGCCAAAAGCATGAAGTGATCATTAGGAGTAGAAGCAATACAAACAAATCCATCCGTCTATTATACGTCACTTATAAAACACCTTTTAATCTAACACAAAGAACTTTACAGTGGATCAAAAACAATTCAAATTCTTACCCCTGACTTACAACCAAATCAGAGGTAAATCAGGTAATAGCCACGAAACATGGGACGTGCGTAATGTTGAAAGCGTTCATTCGTCTTTCCTGTGGTGACAAGTCAGAATGTTTGTGTATTAATAAGTAGAAATCAGTGCTGTTGATATAAGTGTGTATCAAAACTAGTGTGTAACTCTTATACATGCATTTTTCTTTGCTGGCATTTATTGTCCGGGTCATTACAATGAATAACGATTTCCGGATGTAATCTCCATGTTTGCGCACTGAAGATGAGAGGTGTGAATTGGGGTAGGTCTCACTTCGATTCACACCTGCATACGCCTTATATAGGAGGTATAATCTTTCTCTAATATTTACTTCATTTCTTTCTTTTTAACATTATATTAGCGTTCCTAAACAATATCTGTTACCTTTTTGATAGCATTATGTTAGCGCAGTGATGCAGTGCAAGAAAAAGCTGAGATAGAAGTAGAATAGATAGAAGTTTCTTGATCGGCCTCGCTTTAGCCTTCATAGCACACTATAAACTAAGAATTATTAGAAAATTGCTTAATTTGTTCTTATAAAAAACACTTACAGCACAATCTCAGGCCCGATTCTATACACGATAATGCTGTTACAGTTATGTCTGGGGCAGATGAGTGATGTCAATGCCCCAGACACCAATGTGCCATCCATTTCAAAGGCTGTATTTATTTCTCTTTCAGAACTATCATGCTGTCAACCTGTATGTTTTGTATTCAGGTGTATTCATTTCTTGTTGTTAATTATGCATGAGTACCACTCTTTGAGACACGCTTGGTAATAAGCCACTCGTGAATGTTTCTTTACACTGGCCACGGGCAGATACTTCTCACTAATTAGAAGGCTTGTCACCAAAAAGGCCATCGATGTGCTAATTGGGGTGATCCTTCAGAAACACTCCTCTGTCACACGGCCGCTAATAGTGATGCATTTGTTTGACTCTGGCATCAGTGGAAACATCCCTCACTTCAAAACCCTTGGCCTGTGCGTCTTTAGTATGAAGACTCAGCACGCATCCATATATACAGTTGTGTGGAAAGCTTCAGATGAATTATAAATCAGACGTGGAACAGAGTTGGTGCAATACAAAAAAGAGAAAACAATTATCAGTATAATATGCACAGTGTCATACAGGTCAGTGTAATATTAGGACAGTCAGGGCATGTGCAATACTCTGGTTTGTGCAATATACAGTAGTTGATGTGTTTTTGTTATTGCTTTCTACATTGTGCTTTGTTGTCCACTCTTGCTGTTTGTTCTAACTTTGTGTAAGCTCTCAGTCGTACAGGGATTAGTCAAAGCAAAGGAAGGTTTCTCACCCATCATCTGTACTTCTTAGCAGGTTTTCCCAGGTGCTAAGAAGTACAGATGATGGGTGAGAAACCTTCCTTTGCTTCTAACATGATGCAATAACACTTCTTGTCCCTGTCTCTCTGTATATAGTCAGTGTCTCTGTATGTTTTTACTAACTTGTGAGCAACACCAACCTGCTGGGGGTCTGCAGAAGGAAAAAAGCCTCCTAAAATAAATAAATAAAATATACAGCCATAGAATGAATGACATCACAAACACTTTTTTCCTCACACTTATTGGAATTAGCATGTTTTCCTTTATAAAAAAATAACAACATTATAAGCCAATATGTGCAGTTTTCAGATTAAAACTGGAGGCTTCTAGTCGAGAAGAATCAGAATCAGAATCAGAATCAGAATCATTTTTATTGCCACGTGAGTAACAAAGTTATCACTTGGAAATTGTTTTGGCAGAGAGCGTGCCACTTCGCCATTTGCGGCGCTGTGTGCAGCAAGAAACAGCAGAGAGCAATAACATACAGTTCACAGACAATTGGATAGACACATTGTGCTTTTTATAAACCACGGATTTTTTTCTCGGGAAGAGCACCTCTTCGGCCGGCCCAATGTAGCTGTCAGAGGGGGGCGGGATCAGGGAGGGGGTGAGTAGGAAAACAATAAGGAATGGAGGGGAGGGAGGGAGCAAGATGGATAGGTAGAGGGAGGCGGGGGTGGGGGATCCTTGCTGAAGACTGAAATAGTGTGAGTTGTTGTAGATTGTGGGACCTTGTTTATGGCCTTGGCTGAGGAATGTGAGATAAGAGTGGAGAGAAGCCACAGGAGGAGAAAAACACATCGCCTGCAATGTCGCAGTCAAAAGCAGGAATTCCAATTAAACCGAATTCCGGTGCCCTCAGACCTCCGTACACAGGGGCAAATCCAAGCCGGGTCAGAGAGATCAAGCCTGACAAACAATGTCATTCAATCTCAATTCCAAATGAGAATGAGCAGCTTTCCCATGATGTTCTGATGGTTATCAAATGACGTAGTGAGCAATGTACGTCTTTGTTTCAGGGAAATATAAACAATAAAATATTGCAAACAAACAAAGTAAAGGTCACATCTGTAGGTCCGGTCACTTTTTCCCTTTTTCGTCCGCTAGATAAGGTAAATGTCATACTGTGGAACATTCCAGAAAAAGCAATAACGTTAGAGCTGTACATCATCCTCCTTATCTGTCTGAACTACTCGGTCGGCCATGTGTGAAATGTTCTTTCTTTGTTTTCACACCTGGTATCTGCATGTTGTGATTCAACCTGCTTTTTAAAGTGTTCTCTTTGAAATGAGAACATGCCCAGCGTGTGACCATTGGCGAGGCTCATTGGGGAGTGTTTTTACATAACAGCTCAAGTGCAATGACCTGTTTATTCTTTTGGTTCAGCCCTTCTACAGAAAAGGATTGTGTGTTGATATCAAAGGAACATACACCTGGTTATAAAAGCTAGCTGTATGTAGAATGCAGATGTAGAATGTGTGATCATATATATGGATTTAATTGTACGAGTTTAATGCTTTCCCTCTTTTCTGCACGTCGACTTGCCCCGTGAATGAATTGTGCGATACAAACAAACGTACCTTGCCTTGCGTCGGCAAAACATCAGCTCAGAACACCATTTCACATTGTATTACTCTTTTACTAGTTCATTATATACTTCATTAAAATGCTTGTGTGGAAATGTGGTATCATTAGGAAAGCACGGCAATAAGAAAGTCCTTTGTTTTGTCTTCAGCTGCGTCCGACAACCAAAACAGAGTCGGCAGTATTATAAACCAGTGCCTGACGGAGCCCTGTGTCCTTCCATTATGTCATTAACTGTTTAGCTCCTATTCAATTATGTATAGCCCTCTTAGGCTTCACCCCTGATTTGCTTTGTTTCATTTCACAACGCCGCTCACTACAACAGCAGCAACTACATTCTGCTTCATATTGGTCGGACCTGCAACATATTTCCCTGGAGTCTTCAAATGCAATTTTTTGTGTGAGCGGCTCGAAGTGGCGTGCCAGATATAGACGCACACTTCATAAACACACACAAGTAAAGCATGCCTGTTTGAATCACTGTGATGTATTATTCAATGCTACAGTCCTTTCTCCTCTTTTGTCGAGGCTTTTTAGAGGCGTTTTACAGGAGCAGGCAGGTCTGACAGATATCCATCCTACACAGACTGCAAACATGCGCACACACACACACACACCCACACACACACACACACACACACACACACATATATAAACACAAATGCACTTGCAGGGGCTAGACAGTTTTGGAAAGATATCTAATTAAGATTTTCTGACTAACATTGTGACTGCAATTTAGGAAAATAGGAGTATTGTTCAGTGTATTGCAATGACATGTACAGTTGAACTGGCTAGAATTACAGACAAAAGGTCTCAACAAGGGCAGACGCACAACATAACATTTTAACTTTAACTGATACACTTCCATTTTAAGATAAGATAACGGACCTCATGATGCCGGAATACAAAAACAAAAAATAAATTCAAAGGATAAAGTTAAAGGATTTAACGTCACTGGCCTAATCTTATCACATTTAGAACATGTACTGTATGTGCTTTTAACTCCTCGAGATTTTGAGAACATGTAAGACCGTTGTTATGATCATTTTGGTGTAATTGTGTGCTTCTGTTCGAAAGGAGTCGGTTTCTTCACTTATCAAGCTTTATATGTGTTTTAAAACAGTGAAATGTTTGTAGAATCTGTCCTGCCTTTTTTACATTGTTATAATACTGCCCAAGCAGACACACACACACACACGCACTGCTGATTGGCTTGTTCTTGTTCTGTGCCAGGAGATGCTGTCCTCATGCCACACAAGCGGCACATTCGCAAAGCCCTCAACGCTCCTTCTTCTTAGCATAATCCCAAATCACCGACATGACTGTACACCTCTGTACTCACGTCCCAATTACCAGCCCCCTCTGTAGCGGCACACGATGCCTCCAGCACCTCTCATGTCGTCCCACGTGGCGTCATTAAAGTCAAACAGCAGAATGGTGCGCTGTGGTATTTTTCCCCATCTGAGACGAGTGCCAAGCTGTCTGTCTGTCTGTGTGTGTGTGTGTCTGTCTGTCTGTGTGTGTGTGTCTGTCTGTGTGTGTGTCTGTCTGTCTCTATGTGCTTTTACCAACTCATTGTTTTTCATTACCATCCTGTCTGCGCTTTGGTGGTTTGACTATTCTCCGTGTTGTCTTTGTTTTTTTGATTATATTTTGTTCACGGTTCAGTGTCTGCGCGCTTCGGAATCTGATAAGAGACCTTTAAAATCGCTGTCAGCGTTTGTGTCGATCATGCGAAGACCAAAAAAGACATACCTGTGTACCTTTCTGAGGTGCAGTTCACCGCTGAGATTAGGTTTTACTTTGTGGTTCAATTATTATTTTTCACAAATATCTTCACAAGTGGAAACGTGTCTCATTTATGTCACAGACTAAGCTCTAAGTGCACATCTAAGTAAGTAAGTAAGTAAGTAAGTAATGTTTATTTACAGTATAGGTCACCCAAGGCGCTTTACAATGTTCAGAGTTCAGATATTGTTCCAATCATTCCACACACGGTGATGACAGAAGCGAGTCCAGAACACACAGGACCATCAGCCCCCACCCAACACCATCCATTCATTCTCTCATTTACATTCATACCTACTGTGCATGTTTTTAGTGGTAGGGGAAACCGGAGCACCCGGAGGAAACTGGAGCAGACACGGGGAGAACATGCAAACTACACTCAGAAAGGCCCTGTTCCGACCGGGATTTGAACCCAGGACCTTCTTGCTGAGAAGCGAGAGTGCTATCGCCACCGTGCCTCTTTAATAATAAGTCATACGGTTATTTGATAATACTAGCATAATGACATTGATAAACAGTTCGAAATTTAATCATAACCTAGTTTTACTGAGATTCTTAATCTTTTTATTTTATTTTTTTAGAATGTGTTCATGCCCTTTAACTGCTGAATTGAATTTCCCCAGGTGAGATTAATAAAGTATATATTTACAACCCAGTGATCAAGTCTTTTCATGCATACAGTACATCAACATATTTCAAAACAGCAGGAATAGAGTTTATGAAATGAACTTGACATACGGTAATGTGACATAAAAAATAATACTTCAATTAAGATTAATTTTGAAGAAATGCAGTTTATGCCGACCATGATCGAGGTCTGTATGCTGCAGACAATGGATTCGTATTCATGTTTGCAGTTGCCATATTCAACCCTAATTTGCATTCCCCAATGATAACGATATAAAGCTCTCACCCCTCAAAAGCAGCACTTATTTTTTCTTGCAAATGTACAGCTGAAATGATAATTATAGACGGTTATATACGGTTTCCATGTGGGATTATAAAGTGCAAGTCTGCGTTTAAAGTAATTACCGCATGTGCCAATGATTGCCCTTTTTGCACTGTTCCACACACATGAACACACCTGCATCTGTAATACCACTGGATCACACTTTATAATTGCTTAAACACCAGAAGTCATCACTTTTTCTCCAGTCCGACCTGCTGTAATTTATGCCATCTGCAAGCACCCCCGTCAATGTTCTCGTGAAAAAGATTGTGGAGTGTAAGTAAATGTCTCCAAAAGGGCTGAGCGAGTGTTTAGAAGCGTTTCTGTACCTGGATCCAAGGCCATCTGTCGTTCTCGGCAGCCGTCCAGGCGTTGACCAGGCCTTTCCTGTTGAGGCGGGCGAAGTACGGGTACCACTTCTGTAAGCCGAAGAGCGCGCGGTGAGTGGAGGAGGCGGTGATCTGCTGGTTGGAGATGATCCCACCCTCCATGCCCAGTGGTCCGGAGCATTCTGCGGAGAGAGCACAAAGAAGGAGCTGGAATTATTCACGTAAAGTAAATGTGATGTCAGACTAAAAGAAGGAACTCAAATGTCACACTGTGATGTCGTTAGTTCTTGTTCAAGTGTGACGATGAAAGGTTTCTTTTCAGTCACTTTGCATTCACAGTGGCCTTCTCTTAAAACTAGAGCACCTATAACTATGAAACCATAAAGAGCAGTTTAATCCATCTAACTAATTCCTCTCTCTCAGTTCTAGTTCTTTCACAAGTTTTCACATGCATGCGTTTCAGGCATTGTGTGAGTACCAGCCCCTCACTCAGCTAATCATATCTAAGTATGTAAATGATAACATGTTGTAAAACAAGATTCAGACAAACTCAAAGCTATATATATTATATATTATATATATATAATATATATATATATATATATATATATATGCACACAGTCAAGGTATTTCTGGAGCTATTAACAATGTTGTGGAATATTGATTTAACAGTGCCCTAAGGAGAGTGGTGTTAGACTATTTCTGCACATACAGAGGAGTGAACTGTTCATGTTGGTTTGGGCGACATGATGGCAGTGTGGGTCGCAGCCAGAAGGTCTCAGGTCCAATCCCTTTTTCGTGGAGTTTGCATGGTTTGTATGTTGCATATCTATATTGATTTCTCAAACATTTCCGTAACATGGTCTCGGTGAAACCATGGAGCACTTCTGGATGTAAGGGGATTTATGCACATCTCATGCTCTGAGTGCATCAGTGCACTTTTCATTATGTCTTGTAGACATTTTTGAGAATAAAGTCTCTATTGTGCATTGAATGGATTTTGATAGATTTTAATATTTATTCCTAGAGAGAAAAAGGGGAGAGAGAAAACACAACCTCTACACATGAAGTATGAATCATGAAATCTGAAAATGCATCAGACATTACAGCACTTACTGAATAAATAAACAGCACTGTCAAGAATGTAATATCCATCGCTTAAAAAGGTAGCACAAGCCTAATGAGATATCCTTAATTGCTCATTTACATATAAAACATCTGCCTTTTCTATCTGATCTCATCAGATTTTGATAGATTCTTAGTGCTCTGGAAGGATTCAATTAGAAGGCAGCATGCACAGGACTGTGGCAGTTTGCCTCTGCAATTATAAGTTAACCGTGCAGGTAGAATCTTCGTAATTGGGCACAGAGCTTTGGCAAGCTAACAACGTAAACACTTTGGGCAAGGGTTTTCTACCAGGAAGATCTCTCCAACAATACTAAATAATATTCACATGCTATATCTCTGAAAACAGTGATATACGTATATGCTTCAATATAATATTCAATTCAATAGTACTAATGGCAATGATAAATATTGTTTGTATTTTCAAGTAAAATATGTAAAGTAAAAATGTGTTAAGTAATATTTCAATATAGGTTCCCTCGACACATCTGTAAATTCTAGCACAGCCATCTCCAAAAGGTGTTTAAACTATGATTTCAAATGTTTAATCAAAAACTAAAACAGCTAAGTGGTTGATAGATATTGCTCTAGTTTTATAAAAATCCTTATCACTGAAGGCAAATTCACCTCAACTTATTCACAAAATCAACAAGTAGAATGTGTTAACGTGTGAAATGCAATCAGAAATGTGGAAGCAATTCCACTTGAGTCTATTCCCAACAGACCCAGGACGGCACAGGCACAAAGTCCAGCCACCGGCGCAGAGCTCTCATGCTGGATAAAATGTGAAATGTCCATATAAAGTAGCCCTGAAGCGGTGCCGCGAGCAATGGTCACCAAACAGCGGTGACTTCAACAAGAAATGTACAGTTAGTATTTAAAAAGACCGAACTAACAGTTTAAAGAAAAGTGGGGATATTGAGGAGTCTCATACAACACACAGGGAAGCCAAAAGAAGAATGGAACAATGAAAACAAGTATTCTGCAGCTGCTTTACCGTGGGCTTAGGGCTACAGGGAGTCAACCAGACACTGAGTAATGTCTTTGAGCATGGTCTGGGGATTCACAGTGGTTTGTGTGTGTTTCTATATTTCACTAAGGTAAATCACTAGGGCTGCTCTTTTTTCTTCTTGTGTCTGACTCACCATTTAGCTTGAGAGAAAGGTAACAGTTGTATGCAGCAAACAGCAGTCTGTGTTACAAAAGCGAGGCTCATGGTTTCTTAATGAGATTGAGATTAAGAGATATTTTATTCGTCCCACAGTGGGGAAATTTCAGTTGACTTTTGTCATTTCAGACCAATCAAGTTGTGAGTGCAATCTGCTTTGCTAAATGTATTCATGGTTATTGTAAACAGGGGAAACTTTCAAACAAGAAATGCCTGCTTCTAAACTCTTTGTGAAGAGCCAATACATCCCATAGAAATGATGATGCATGGTGTGGACAGAAAGCAGACAGATGGGTCACACTCGGGGCACAGACTCAAACCTCATTATTGACAAAGGAGAAAAGCTGAACTGTTGTAAATGACTTGCAATCAGGACGTGATAGTGAACAAAGTGCTGTTTTATTTTTATAACATGATATATAATATAGAATGTATGTTTCAAATATGATTATGCTTGTTAATGGTCCATCACAGATTGACCTGGACTTAATGGGAACACTTTTGACCCTTCCTTCTGCAGAGGTGCACAGTTGCATCACAAACACCGGTGCATTACTGTGGCTCGCACGCTGGACTCTCACCTGGTCTGATGGCTGCTCTTAACGAGCTGCTGCCAGGCGTCCGTCAGCTGGAGGAGACGCTCGGCCCCTGGGCCCTGGCCTAGTGGCCCCTGAGCATACATCAGCCAGACAGCTCCCATCACTAACACAAGCACTGGCCCCTGTGACAGCTGCATCCATCTCTCCCACACATGCCCTACCTATAGCCTAAACAAATTAGACACCCACTCAAATGAACACGGCACACCAATACTAATGAGCAGTAGAAGAGAAAGAGATATTCATAATACTAAGCAGATGTTGGCCGTGCACTCGGGGCTCAGGTGATGAACGAGATGTTGAAGTCCATGTTTCATGGTCAAATATGAAAGTATAGTACAGTCAAACTGGTATCATGTGGTAACAATTTTCAAAACAATCCACTGTTTCCTATTGTTTTCAGATATAAATTATATTGAAATGTAAGTATAGCTTTGTAGCTGCGCAATGGAATATTCTAAAACAACATCTTTGGCTGTTGGTAATTCTTCGCTCTAAGATGTCTTTGGTTAATGAGGCCTGCACAGTCATCACCCCTGTTCAATATGCGCCTTTAACTGCCCATTTAGCCCTTATCATTGTTTTTAAATGGGAAAAGGCTCCGGATGATTACAGCAATAACAACCTCGAAGCACTCCGAATAATACATGTGTCAACCACATAGCAACAGTTTTGATAGTTTATCTGTAACTACAAAACTAAAGTTAACTTGAATGTTTATGTGTTCAATTTCAAGATCTGTAAAACTATAATTGCAAAGCTCATGATCTCAGTGTAGAGATTCTGTGGGTAAGATAATAAGTATAGCACTATACATTCAACATAGTGGTGATAAACTACTGACCAGTATGTGCTATTGGTCCCTCTGACTTACAGTGGGACAAAAAAGTATTTAGTCAGCCACCAATTGCGAAAGGGCTCGTATTCCCATATATTCCTGTTAATTAAAAAAATCCCAATATTTCTCATGGAAAGTTTCTAGTTTTATAAATTCCCAGAATTTTGCAACACTACATACAAGTGTTTGTATGATTTAGTATCATATTATTATGTCAGTGTGTATGTATAAAAGCATTATAATTTCGAGACCACACAGCAGGGCCGCAAAAGGTGAACCACAATATAGTGTGGAACCACTGTATTCATATATGGCTCGTGACAGGGTATAATTACTGTATATGACTAGTATTTTTATTAATCTGATGGCCACTTAATCAAGAAGTAGCCATCTGATGGTTTTGTGATCAAGAATCAAAAACAACCTAGTTTTCCTTGAATTACAGATAATCTTCCACATGTGACCCACCTCCACATGCAGCTTTTTTAGGGCTTGCCCCGAAGGCAAATCACCACACAAAAGAGGCGGGCCACACTTTCATTGGTAATTTTGTTCATTGTGTTTTATGGTGGAAACAGTGGTCTAGAAGCTGCTGCTAGTTTGAGAGTGTGATAATGTGCAGATAAAACACAAGTCAACACATTCAACACATTCAACAGGATGATTGTAGATAGGAAAAAACAAGCTTAAAAAGACCCATCTACAATTCACATCCCCAGCCGCCATACTGTAAGAAATGTCATTTGTTTACTCTGGTTGCAGGAAAAGAGGATATGATGTAAACAGCCTGAATCAATTACTTTGTACATTGCTCCGAAAAATCTTCTATCCACAGAGGAAATAAAGCTGAGAATCATTAACTCAGTAATGCCACTTCATCTTGAATTGTTTTTGTCAGAACAATGTTATATTTATTCCTGAATAAATTACAAGCTGCCCGCTGCTCAAGACTGAACCGGAGATAGGAACATATCCCCATTTACCCAGGATGAGATCAAATTAAATCTTAATATATTCATTGATAAAGGAAGACAAAAAGTTCAACAATTGTGGGAAAAATAGTGGAGCGTGACATCTGAGATAACATCCCAGCAGCAGAAAAGGAACATAAGCTTTATAATATGCTTTCAACATATTTAAACAAGGGGATTTAAAGTAAACCTCATACATGGTTATATATTGGGGTGCACTTCAAGCCGCCATCCCATCATGGACGTTAGTTTTTAAACATATGATGCATTTTAAAACACTATGTTTACTTTGAATAACAACTAGTCTTTCACTCCACCGTCAAAGACATGTGTTTCTGTGGAAAAACAAGCCCACCCACTCACTGTATTAAAAACACCGGCTCATGACCATGGAGCAGAGAAAGTGGCTCCTCCATTAAAGCAGTGCTGAGTTAGTCATGAGTCAAAGTGAAATGTTGAGGATATTTGTCCCAGCAGAACTCAGGGGTTCCAACATTTTTGAGACAGAAAGACCCAACATCTCAGCCACAGCTCCGCAATAACATACTTTTTATACTTTTCAATGTCAATATGATTTATGAATGTTACTATTGTGTGGGGAGACAAAACTGTAGCTATTATTTAAAATGAAAATATTAAATACTGACTTTAATAATCCTTAACTAATGTTATAGAAATATTTTAGTAAAGCAACCTGAATTAACACCTAATAGTTATGAGTGTAAGTTATTAACTAACAGTGAACTCTGGATTCAGATACAGGCCATAATGCTCTGTTGGCAGCAGGTCAGTGATAGATGGAGACGTGCTGCATCATGTCTTTGACCTGGGTCATAGAACAATATGTTCAGTTCAAAAGCAGATTGTTACATATATCAGAGTTGTATCAGCGTTAGGACGCGTAAAGAGAAGCCTTGAGCAACACATATCAATGTTGACTTCATTTATGTAATATCTAGAGTAGATATGTGTTTGTTTACTCTGGTCTATTTAATGTACAGTCATTTCCTCAATCGTGGCAGTCGATTTCGGACGGCTGCCCGGTGGTATTGGTATCGGTTCTGTTATTCATTGTAATTGTGCACATTTACTAATGAATAAACTCACACTTTGTTTGGAATTACAGCTCTGAGTTGTTTACATTATTTTACTCTCGGTATGTGCAGAATTTCCACAACACTACTTAAGAACTTGTACAGTATGGTTTCTTTGTAAATCATGGTTGTGCACAGTTTATCTTCCCCTTCTCTTATGTAGAGTTGTGAAATCTCATTTAAATCATAATTAACGGAGGGAGTCACCAGAAGTCTGTTAAATGGACCAGTTTTTGAGGTGCAAACAGCTGTAGCATTCTACTTACTGTACTGGCAGTTGTGGCCCATGTATTCTCCAGGGCATTCGCACGAGTAGTTGGCCACCAGGTCTGTGCAGATGCCTCCATTCTTGCACGGCTCCCGTTCACACTCATTAATATCTGGAAGAAACCCAAAACACACAAAGCTGAATTCATTTATCCAATGTGGACGTGTGGAAAATTAAAAAGGGCTCCTCCTCATTAGGATGCATTGGTAAAGACGCTGTATTGAATTTTCTCCATTTGTTACTTGATTCTGTCTGACCGTGTGAAAGCCCATGAAGCCGGAGAAGCAGGGAAAGCAATACATTAAAAAGATTCAATTATGGTGTTTCAATGGAAGGTAAAAGATGCTATTTCTTTGCAACTTTATCTTGCAAATTAATGTTTTTCCGCCAATAGGCACTTCCAAAACGCAATATATAGATAACTAAATCTCTCTGACACATAATAGGTATAACAAACAAAGAGAAAGCCTGGGATCCCATGTAGTTTGTCCCAAAATAAAGAGTTCAAATCTATCTCATTAGCAGACATCATTTGCGTACAAAGAAATGCACATATTTTCGGCTTGAGCTGATTGGACGAGGGTGGTCCTCTCTTTTTCTCTTCACTGTTTGAAAAAAGCAGATCTAAAGATTTGACAAAACCAAGTCTTTTTCAGTTCAATGACGTACAGAGATAACATACAGACATATACCATATGCAGTACGCGCCAAAAGATCATTTTCACAAACTTACAACTATTGTAAATGCCTAGTTTAGATTAGTGCACCAATAAAGTATAAAAGATTAATTTCTGAGTTACACTATACTGCAAAAATGCCAAAGAAATAAGTGAGAAATTGCCGATTTGAGATTTTGACAGTCTTAACACAAGATTCCTATGTAAACAAGTAATAAAATAGTTATACCACTTTGATTTGCATTGAACTGTGAAAAAAACTGAAAAAACTTTATTGTAGCACACCATTGCGTCAACTTTCTTACAACTGAAGAAGAAGCTCTCCAGGGGAAAAGTACTGCATGTAATTTCTCATAACCTTTCCTGAACTCTCGTAGTCATTTGAATATTTGTTTGATTTGTTTGATGTTTGGTGCCCATCCAATCCTGTGCAATTGAAATCCAGCAGGAGAAAACAATGTTTTATGTTTTTCCATGTTAAAAGTTATAAGCTGAAGCCAATAAAATTCAAAAAGACCGGTAATTCACTTGTGCTGCAGGTGACTTAATCATCCCAAATGGCATCTATACTCTATAGAACAGGATGCATTGATAGAGTAATTGAGTGAGAAAGTCTAGAAAAGTCATAAAAAGCATGAGCCTCGTCATGGACTTGTCCTTTTGTCGAAATATGATTATGGAAAATGCAAATGGATGAAAAACAAGTTTGTCTGTATTTAACAATTATTTTGAGGATAAACAAGGCAAGTTTATTTGATTAGCACAGTTTTTTCAATCTATTAGATGGCTGATTGTTCTTATTTTTCAGTGAAGATGCGATTATATAAAGTGGACCAAAACAAAGCATTTTAATTTAATTCTGCAGTTATTAGAGAATGATCTGAGTCAGAAAACCACCTTGATGCAGGGGTAAATGTATCACTAAAATAAACTAGTTACAGCCCTATAAACAAAACATACCCATGCTAACACAGTCTATCTCAAACATTATAGACACGTTTGCCCAATATCCATCTTATGAAAAATCTACACACAATATTTACAACAGACCAGGCTAGAAAGTGTGAGAAAGTGTGCGCGCCGTCCCCTTTGCTTTATGGGCCTCTGCAACAGCTGAAGGTTACACTCTGTGATGCTCCTCAGCTACACCTAGATTTAAGACGCAAACTTTGGCAACATTTTCTTTCTGCAAATATCCAATGGTTTCCACACGTGCCTGGAGCAGTCACACAACTTTTTAATCCTTCTCAACATGCCCCGAGTTCTGCAGTGACTCAGGTGCATTTTGGCTGCATGAATATGTAACTAGGCCTGCGATTTGGAAAGCTTAAGAAAGTGAAATATGATTAGAATAAGTATGTTACAGGGCTGCGTGTTTAATCTGCGCTATCTTTAGTTATGCGGGTGCCTTTGGTAATCTTCGCATCTTTAATTGTCTAATGCTTTAGGGGGGAAATCTCTTTTGAGGTTCATTTTCACATCCAGAGTCTTACTTTGGTGAATAACGGCCTCCAAGAAAATGTGTGGTGGGAAAAGGTGGATAATGGATGAAAAAAATATTAGTCAAAAATGTGTCCTATGATAATATTTGACTGATGGGGCTTAAATAATCCAAGCAACTATCAAAATATCTTTTAAGGAACGGCCACAATAGACCACATATATCTGAGTGTTATCCATGTGCTAGGCCTGTTTATTCTGCTTTGACTCTGTTTTAGAATTGTATTGTTATCTGCTAAAACCAAATGTACTTTTCCACCATTGTCACACAGGAGCTACAGACCAGGACTTCTTTTCAATGTGGTCTTTTGCTGAACAACACAAGAATAGAGTGAATAAGGTTTTTTTTTTTTTCTTCTTTGTCCATTTTAAATTACTTGACTCTTTTGCTTCTTGGGTCCAAAGCACACGCTGACAATACCTATATTATGTAACAATTACATACAGATCTCATATTTATTCTGATAATAAAACACAGTGCTGGTCTGTCCCTGAACCAGACCTTAAATGTATTAGTGACAGAGAGATGCTGTGTCCACGTTAAAGAGGAGGGGAGGGGCGGAAGAATTAGCCTAAGTGCTGACTCTAATCACGTATGTAATGTATGCAGCAATCAGCAGTATTTCTTTGTGACTGATTATAATAACTATGATGAGTTAAATCAAAATCATATTTTAATAGCGGGTTCCTGTGTTGCTTCATATACTTGAGCCCCACAGGAAATGAGCTACTGTGGATATGATTGCAAATGTAAAAACAGCAAGTGTTCGCAAAAAGAAATAAAACACTAGACATAATAATAATTGGTGAGGTAGACTGTGCTCTGCGAAAATAGAAGATAAAACTAATAAAACGGTTTGGTTGTCCGCTTGAATCAGGGGTCCACTGATTATCGGTACATTTTATTCAGACAGGTACTTGCTATCTCTATAATGTCTTACAAGTAATTTATATGAAAACAAGCTTTCATTGTACAGTATGTATTGAGTAATGACATAACATTGGCGTATTCTGTGTTGGTAAGTGACATATTCTGAGAAAAAGAACAGCACTTGATGTGTTCTCACAGCCAGATCGATAAGTTATGTTTCTGCACTTGGCACTGTGGTTCAACTGCAGAGGTTACAGAAGCGGGTAGAGCCACTCCATAGCCTGGGGCAAAACAGCACAGTGAGAGTGGAACACAGCAGACCCATCTAAAGGTTTAGCTTCCACTTTATGAGAGGCCATCAGCCCCAAGGAGCTGACCATCAGCAGAAGTGCACGATAAGGTAATGTCATGTATGTGTATAAATCACAATGTCCACACAGAGCAGCACAACTTCAAGAGGAGAGGATTTTAATTTGAATGTTTAAAAATAAATTACGATTTCTTCTACCCCCAGAAGGATCTAATAAAGACAATAAACAAGGTCCTCAAAATTAACAATGAACGAGGAAACAAACACGTCTCTGAAAAACCTTTTATTCACACGTCTTCCTTCAGAGCAAATTCTGCATCTTCTACAACCTCAAACATGTGCTTTCTTGATAGTAAATTATTGAGAAATGTATCTATGATTTGAAAGCCTTGTATGACTATGCTTCTCATCTTGTTTAGATAAGCACATGTATTTAGAAATACAGTGGTATAAAGACGTTTGGGTGCCCCTTTCAATTTGGATGATTTTCCTTCATATCAATTTTAATTAATTGTTTGAAAAAGAGATTACAGTTAAAGATGCAGTAAGTGATTTTGTTAGCTTAGCCGTAGCACCAACTCCAAACCACTCCCCCCTCCCCTTGCCTCTCCACCAAACCAAACATCCAGCAGTTTCTTTTCTTTGTCACATCAGGGAGAGTGAACGGCAAAAATGAAATTGGCCTTTTCTGTTCAGCCCTTTTACGTTTGAGAAAATACCGATAACTCAGGTGCGCGCACTGGCAAGAAAGAGGAAGAGTGTGAGTGGGGTAAACAAATCCCATTGGTTTCTTTTTATCGGTCTGCTGTAAAATATTTGTTATTAATTTTTGGAGACTATAGGCATCCGGTCAATTCCATTACTATTTGAAAACTTGACTACTTTTAGGGTTTAGGGACATTTTCCCACAATATTTATAATAATGCCTGAGGAAATCACTGACTGCTTCTTTAAATACATCATATAGGAGGCAAACACAGTGATATTTGAAAAGCTAAATAAAGTTTGTATCGTTCACAGAAAGTGTCTCCTATATGATATATTTAACTGAAGTTTTTTATTCAAACAACCAATGATTTATATATAGGCGGGGCAGAGAAGACTTTGCATGTGGCAGGTTGCTTTCCTTTGGTGTGGCTCAGACATCGGCTGCTGTGCTTGGCCTGGCTGCTCTGTCGCTCTGTAAGAAGTGTCTCAGTCTAGCAATAATGAGAGCAATGAATAGTCCGACTTACCCTGGACTAGGCACTAAATTGACTTGAGAGGGTCATGGGTGGGAGCGCACACAAGGGAAAGTGTGTGTGTGTGTGTGTGTGTGTGTGTGTGTGTGTGCGTGGACGTCAGCTGTGCCCTGTTCAGCAATTGTCCTAACTGGAGTACACCTGCTACCCATCCTCTGGCTCCCATGAAAAGGCTTCTCCACAGAAATATTGAGTTAAAAGCCATTTATAAGAAAAAAACAGTGACAGCAAGAACAATTAGACTAATCAATTCATCAATTTGCCATGACAACTGTGACAAGCAGTAATCTGGTAGTATTTTGTATACAGTCGCTACATACCAAAGTTTTTTTGCTTCGCTCCTACAGTATAATGCTTATTTTTTTTAAACAAATGCTCTGTGTTGTGCAAGATCTTAGAAACCAATTAGACATAGTAAGAGGGAGCCATTTTTTTGTCAGAATTGTCTTTAGTTATTGATACACATACGTATACATAGAGAGAGAGAAGAGAGAGAGATCACTACTGTTGTGA